GAAGCTGTTTCCTCAATTACCTATGCATTTAAAAAAAAAAAAAAGTAGATAGAGGGCTGGCGAGATAGTTCAGTGGATTAAAGCACCTGCTTAGGCAAGCACAGGGATGGGGGATCCCCATAGTGTTGTGCCGGCCCTGCCCCCAGGGTGTGCAGAGACAGCAACTGAGACTGGGCGTGGCAGCATCAGCCTATAATCTTAGCGCTTGGGAGGCTGAAAACAGGAGAATCACTACGAGTCCAATCTGTGTAGTGAGACTCTGTAGGCGCTGTGCTAAAATACAAAAAAAAAAAGTAAATTGGACAACTTAATGTACAAAAATTCTTATTTAACTATAGTTTTTTTGTGTATTTGTATTTGTAGTGCTGAAGATTAAACCCAGGGCCTTGCATACACTCACCAAGGCTTTACCAGACGGCTACATCACCAGTTCTTTTTATTTTTTAGTTTGAGACTGTGTCATCCTAAATTTTCCAGGTTGGCTTTGAACTTGTGATCTTCTAGCCTAAGAATCCCAAGTATCCAAGATTATGTGTGTGCACCACCACACCCAACTACCTACAGATTTCTAAATTCCTGTTTTTATTTTGCAGAGTCCAGCTGACTGTCATCTTATCAAATCATTTTACCAGAGGCCAATACCATATTGGAGCTCTTTACCTTGGACTAGATGCAGCAAATAGAATTTAGCAATGGAACAGCAGTCCTCAGGAAGCTGCACACCACTTTTAGGCTGCAGTATACAGCTTGAGAGGGACAAAGCCTAACCCAGCTCCCAGGCACGCTGCCTCCACTGGAAACACAAGCTTGGGCACCATTGCGTTCAAGTAGGTTTTTAGCAGCTCAGGAAACATGAAACAGGTCAAAAGGATTCCCTCTTTCAGAAGGGGCTGTTCAGCAAAACATGAATGTAGGCACATACAGAGCAGGCCAAGGATTGCATCAGAGTGACAATGGCCTCCGAAGGCGCTCACCTAGAGGGAGTGTTACACAAAAGAAAGCCACAGGCTTCATTTCACTTATATGCTGGCTGTGTAACTGAAATTTGCACAGAAATTGCATCTATTATGTAAAGTATTATCAAATACTTCTGGAGTTGGCCCAATCTTTAGGCATGGCTGGGAGGAAGTTTAAATGCAGATTCCCTGAGCTCTATCCCAGAAAATCGAATCCAACCCTTCTAGGTTGGGGCTGAGGGGTCTTCTCTGAGGATGATCATCAGTTCCTTCAGGTGATATTTTTAGAATCAGCCAAGTTTGGAAAGCAGTGATCTACTGGATTCCTGAATAAATCCTAGTAATGGGCACACATGTAATTATATTCCCCCGTCTTCATTAGTCCGGCATTTCAGGGCATTGTCCAGCCTTTTCTTATTTCTATGTAGGTTACCACTATTTACTAGTTGACTTCACAGACTGTGAGAAACTAAGCAACACAAATGCATGCTCTAACGAGTCCATGCTGTCTGATGCAGTTTCAGAAATTGAGCAAGAGCAACAGCTAAGCAAGAGGGGTGAACTTCATTCTGCAGAAAGTATAGATCTGAGACAGCTGCTGAAGAGAAGTGGGGCGCTAGAGAAGTGGGGGTCACAGCACACCCCGCTGTAATTTGTCCATCTGCTCCATCCTAAGACCCTGGGCTCTTCCAGTGTGCAGGCATTTATTCATCTGTGAAACAGGAAGTGGGGGAGATCTCAGCCACTGTAGTAAACAGAGCACCGGTCCCCAAGCATTAGTAAAGTGGTAGCTCTGGAGCAAGACAAGACGACAGGTATTGCTCGCTCTGTTTCCTCGGTGAGGACAGTGTTATTGTCCAGGCCATTTATAAGCATTTTTTTGTTTGCTTTTGAGTACAAAGATGTCTGAATTAATAAATAAAATACTGATTGCATCGACTTACTTACAGCACCATCCTGGGCTACCCCTGACCCACCCACATTGGCCTCCTCCCTGGTCCTAGAGCTCGGGAAGCGTGCTCGCCCCAGGGCCTTGGCACTGCTCTTCCACGCACACCCTGGCTGTCTTCAGGGCTCTGTCTGACTTCCTTCAGGTTCACATTCATGCGTCATTGCATCGCAAAGACTATCCTGAGCCACTCTGTGTAAAAGAGGTGCCCATTACCCCTCGGTCACGGCAAGATTCATGAGGTATTTACTTTCTGGCAGATTCGATGGCAGCTCCCATATATGCATTAGAATGTAAGCACCCTGAGTGTGGTGCCTGTGTCCCATCTGACAGAAAATCTCAGCGCCAGCACCATGCCCACCTAGGAGACAGTGGCATCCAACACACTTGTGAGAAAATGAACGGCTATTTGTATTGGCTTGTGGGGAGAGCTGATGAATTATTGATGTTTGTGATCTTGAATATTCTCTGCAACATAGTGGGAGGGAGCACACTCATTTACAAAAGTTTAATTAGAAAGATCCAGTCATCCAGCGGCCTGACTGGTTAGACCTTGACGACCTTTCTGAATAACAGCAGAACTCCTTAAGCTAAAGCACACAAAATAACTAAAAGTAACTGTCCTAGGCAAAAAAAAAAGTGGGGTGGGTAGGGAGAAGTGGACATTCATCATCATCTGTAGTGTAGGTTTAAAACTTTTTGCAACTATAGTGGAGGGTTTGTTTGTAACTTTAGATGAATATGGTATTGTCTTAAATAAATCATCTCCTTCCATCTCACCGTCTGCTATGATGTAAGCCCCATCAGGATATGGCCCATCTTAAAAATACTTGTTTTATGCCTCTGTGAGTATGTGGTAAACAGCAGGGAGTCAGAAACTATATTTACCTGGTGAAAAAATGCCTCTATCAAATACTATGTATGTAGGGTTCCTCTGAATCTATGTTACACATTTTGGTAGTAAAATAACTGTTTCTTATACATCACAAGGCCTTGCCACACATGTACTTGTGCCAGAGATCACAGATCTTCCTATAAAAATGTAAGATGGGGGAGGAGAGCATTCTAAGATATGTACAAAGACAAAATGTCCTAAAAACTTTGCTGCAACCAGTGATAGCATCAGCAGGGTAGTGCATAAAAATAGAACATTTCAATCGTTGAAGTCCGCACTTGGCGGCTGGAAATACCGTCTCACGCTGTGATTCCCCACCTCTCAAGGAGACTGTGGGAAGCTCTAGTATGCGCTTTAAGATTCCGTTCAGAACGCAGGAGCGGCCTCCTGGGAGGCTTCACCAGGAAGCTGCCTAGGCCTGGCTGGCATGCTTGGCCCTTCCTGGAGCGCCCACCGCTCCAAACTGCCCTACAACCAGCATTTGCCAGCCCCACTCCCCAGCCCTTCGTTTCCCCGAGAATCTTCCACAGAGATCTCAGGACTTTTCCGCCCCCGATCCGTCCGTGCCAGGCCTTCATTTAAGAAAACTAAGCTAGAATTCGCAAAAATGATCGAAAGGTCATGTAGGGCTTCAAACACGTCTCAACAATGCAAGCAAAGAGGCAAAAGAAGTCCAGTCGGAAATCTCCTCATTGCTTCGCCCAGGATAAAAAAAAGTCCTGGAAACCACGAGTAAGGGCCACTCTCTTTAAAAGCGAAGCCATTATAAAAGCCAGGCGGCGCAGGGTGGTGCAACCAGATTGTTACTGCGCGGCAGTTACCCTCAATTGGAAATAAACCGTCCTTTCTGGTGCCAGGTATGACTGGGTTAAAATAAAAACCGATCTGCTTTCATACGGAATTCGAGTCGTGTTGCAGCACAAACCGAAACAAATTCAGTGTTCATTGTGATTATTTAATGTAGATTTGCAGTCACTTTGGACACGAAGATCAAAACAAAACAACAAAACTCAGAAATCTGAGGTCGCCTCAGCTTTGGCTACGGAAGTTTCTAACTTGGTGAGGCCTTGGGCCCTCCGTCCCCGCCTCCGGTCTCCCGATGTTGGACGCCGCGGCTTTCCCGTGGGTTGGGATAAGGCAGCTAAGTCTCCATCCGCAGGAGACCAGCGAGCCTGGAGGTGTGGCAGCCCGACCTTTCGGGGTCGCCTCCCCACTGGCTCCGGCGCGGGGCGCACACCTTGGGCCTCGCTCCCCGCGCTGCCTCGCTCGGGTTCTAGCCTGAGCCTGGCCGGGCGTCCAGGTGGAGTCGCCTCCGGAGGTCCCCTCGGGACGCCGCTGCCCGCGGCTCCCACCCGCAGCCGGAGGGGCAGGGAGCGTCGCCCAAGTCCTGGCGCAGGACCCACCCTGGCGCGCGCGCACGCCCCACCTCCCCGCCGCACAAAGCAGCCCTAGGCGAGGCCGCGCGGACGCCGCTGGCCGGGGCCTGCAGAGCGAGGGAGAGGAAGGGCCCGGCCGGCCTCCCCGAGGGTCTCTGGGCCGCCGTGCGCAGCGCCTGGCGCTCCCGGGCGCAGGCCTCGAGGCAGGCGGCCCGGGGTCCCGGCCAGGCCTCGGCCCCGCCCTCCACCTGCAGGCTATTGATCGCGGCGGTGGGCGCGGGGACCCGCGGTGGCCGGGCCTCGCGCGTCGGGGCGCAGGGAACATGGCGCTGCGGCTCCGCGTGAGAGCTCTTTGTTGCACTCGCACAAAAGCGACCGCGACCCGCTGCTGAGGCGGGCCGTGCGGGCCACTGGCAGCGACCAGCTGGGCTTCTGGAGGCCCTGGGTCGCTGGGGCGGGGGGCGCGCCTGGGGACGGAGCTACAGGCCTCGGGGACAGGGGACGACCGGCCGTGGGGACAGGGCTCCGAAGGCGCCAAGGCCCAGATCTCGGCGCGGGGAGCGCGGGGTCACTGGCGAGGGGCTGTCTGCGGGCGGCCCGCAGAGGGGCCACACTTTCACGTTTGCTGGGCTCTGCCCGCATCCCGGTCCGGGAAAGTTTGGATGCACCAAAAAGAAAGAAAGAAAAGGGGGGAAAACAAAAACAAAAACAAAACACGTAACAATACAACTTTAAAAAAAAAAAAAAAAAGCCAAAAACAGAACAAACCAGTTGCCGTCAGCCCCAAGTGGTAGCAGAGCAGCCGGCGCGTGCGATCCACTTACTTGTCCGACTCTTGTGACATGTTTGATCCAATGAACTCGCTCCCCTTTTCCTGGAGCCTCAGCCTCTGGAGAAACTGGACTTTCAGGTCTGTGCAGGTGAAGGTGTGTGAGCGCGCCCGAGATGGCAGAACAAGAGCTACAGGTAATTCTGCTTTTGCGTCCCCCCGCACCGCGCTTCTCGCCCGCGCGCGCCCTCACCTAGCCGGACAGGTGGGATGGGGGCCTCGCACGGACCGCGCTCGGGCCGGCCGGCCGCCGGGTCCTCCCGGCCGGGGCAACGGGCAGGCTCCGAGCAGAAGGCGGCGGACCTGGGCGGCCACAGGTAACTTGCTTGCAAGGAGCTGAATTCTTTCACTAAAGGGTACAAGCCCGAGGGACGAGCTGCGCGGTGATTGGCTGCGAAGCGCGCTCAGGTGCGCTGCCATTGGCAGAGGCGCGCTCAGGTAAGGCCCTGCTCCGAGTGCTGCTAACTCGCTGCGAAGTTTACCTGGCGGAGCCTTGGGAAGCTAGGGCCAGGGCTCGGGACAGCCCGTAGCAGTGTCCCCCTTGTTCCTCAAGGCTGTGGGGAGAATGTGAGGGGTAGAGAAGGGACGGGGCGCGGGGGCGCAGCACCTGCAAATACGGGGGATTGTGGGTCAGACGGAAGGACGGGAGAGAGCTGTGCTCAGAAATCCCAAGCCAACCGGAATCAAATGCGCAGCTCAGCACCAGGCATCGAATGCCCACTGGAGGACAACTGTTGACAGTGGCCAGAGGAGGGACTAAAGTCGCCGTGTGCCGCGGGTGGGGGCGGGGCAAGGTAGGACAGAGATTGCCAGATTCGTTGCATAATTGCATTTTTAACATTCTTATCCGCAACAAACACGTCTCGTGTCCTGATGGGTAACAGATACCAGGTAGTTTACAGATTTCCAAAGAGGCGAGTATCCTTTCGGGAGCCCGGCGATGGAGTCGGGAGGCCGCGATGGAGCACGACCTGCTGTGAGGCCGCTTAAGATGGCCCAGGCACATCTCAATTTGGGATTCCAGAGCTGCAAACAACACCTCCCATCTGCTCCCCAAACCTGGTCATCCGATGTTTCCAGGGCAACCATCAACATTTACATTGTAATTCAATAGAAGCAGCCTCGACAAAGGTGCTTTATCCTTGCAGTTTAATATGGTTGCCAGGCGAATAATGCAGGATGAACCCGACTTGGCCAGGTTTCTCCTGGTTGGGAAGGAAAGGAGTTAACCCAGGTGGAAGTTGTAACTACACTACCAAGAGTGCTGTGTTATGGGTGCCCGAGCTCCTACACTGATGTAGCTCCTGGGTATGGGTTGTGGAAATAAATGAGGATGTGTAAAGTGTACCACATATTTCATTACATTCATCCTAAAACTACCAGGCTCCTTGCGACTTCTTCCACGTCTTTATGGATCATACATTTCCTGAAAAGGTACACAAGGCAAGCCTGAGTGGTTCCATCTTTTCTTTCTGAACAAATGAAGTTCATGGTTTTATTCCTTTCTAAACCAATGTAAGCATGGCACAGGGTTTTTTGTTTTGTTGGGGGGGGGCTGTTTGGTTTTTGGGTTTTTGCGGTACTATGGATCGAACTCTGGGCCTTGTGCTTGCTAGGCAGGCACTGAAGCCACTGAGCTATATCCCCAGCCTGTCACAATTACATTTAAAAGCCAACATAATATTTGATCAAAACATAGTGCCTGCTTCTCCCCTACCTTGTCTATCTTCTTTCTTTTTTTTTTTTTTTTTTTTTTTTGGCAGAACCAGGGATTGAATTCAGACCCTTGTGCTTGCCAGGGAAGCACTTATTCTACTGAGCCATCTCCCTGGCCTCTATCTTCTTTCTATGGGCAACCATATCTCACTTCTAGCTGTATCTTCTGTCATTTACCTCCTGGTCTTTAACTAAATTATACTGCTGCCTCTTCATTTGTCAATAAAGATGTGCTTGGACCAACTTTGATATAGTCCTTTCACTAAATCAAAAGTGCTTCATTCCCTTCCGTCTTTTCTTCTAATAACTCTTTCATGGTTAAGGGGCTCAGCTGTGAACATTTGGGCAAATATTGTGACAATCCAGCCAGTGAGTGCACTCTTACTGTTTTCTTTCTTACAGAGACTTTATTTATTTATTTTTACTTAATTTATTATGCACCTATCCTGGTACCTCTGTCAGTGATTATCAAGTGTCTATGGGATTTCTTTTCCAAATGATCAATAATTCCATCCCCCTGTATCACCTCCATCCCTGTATTCAAAGGAGACACGCTGTTTCAAGGACCTGCTGCTCAGCACTTTCCTGCCCACCTCAAGCATCCTCCTTTCTCCTTTCTGTGTCTTACACCATACTGCACCTCCTTGCTTGCTTCACTTTCCATGTGTACGTCCCAGTGCAGCCCACAAAGGTGCGCTGAGGTACAATGTAGTCCTTACACATGTGAAATGTCATCATTCAACCTTTATATCATTTTAGAGAGCTGGGGCTGAGACCGAGAGCCTCATGCATACTAGACAGCCTCTCTACCACGAAGCCGCACCCCAGCCCAACCAACTTTTACTTTCGGTGGGGAGTTTGGCTGATTACAGAAGTCCATGTAGAAATTTCTCATCCTTGGTCTCGGTAGAAAATACTTTCTGTCTTCCAGCATTCAGCACCACTGCTGGGAATCCCAGTGTCATCCACATTCCATTCGTTTGGGAATTTTCCTCTCTGGAAGCTGACAGAGGGTCTCTTTCTCTAGCTCTGCAAAACATCAGAGACCTTCGTGAACGAAGGTGTTCATGCAGTCATCACGCTGGGTGCTTAGCAGGCGCTACCAGGCTGGCTGCTGATGTCCAGCTCCAGAAATTCTCTTGAAATGGATTTAATGATTTCTTCTGCATTTGGGCAGGTAATGCATAGAGTAGTCAAGTATCTGAAAGCTCAGCGTGCTTGAGTTCAAATCCTGGCTTTCCTCCCTGACTGTGGTCCTGGCAAGTCATTTGATTTTGCTATGATTCAATTTCTTCATCTATAAAATGGGAATCATAGGCTGGGGAGATGGCTCAGAGGTCTAAGCGCCTGCCTGGAAAGAGCACGGACCTGGGTTTGATCCCGGGTGCTGCATGCCATGCTGGCCCCACCCCAGGCTGGCTAAACAGGTCACCAAAACTGGGCACAGTGGCGCACACCTGTAATCTCAGTGCGGGGGAGACTGACACGGACAATCCCTCTGAGTCTGAGCTGCATAGTAAGACCCTGGGCCAAATACATACATTTTTTAAAGGGTATCATAATAGTTATTATTTCATCAGTATACCTAAGCTACTTACAGCAATGCCTAACAAATAGTAAATCCTTAATTATTGGTTATTCTTGTATTACTTTTGAAACTCCTCTTAGTTGACTAATAGATCTTCTGGTTTACTCTTAGAATATTCTCTTCTTTCTTTTTTTGTTTTTGTTTTTGTGGAACCAGGGATTGAACTCAGGCCCTTGTGCTTGCCAGGGAAGCGCTTATTCCACTGAGCCATCTCCCCGGCCCCTCATCTTTTCTTTCTTGTTGGACATCTCTTCATCATTTTCTAGTTTTTTGTGATACTGAGTATTGAACCTGGGGTGTGTGTGTGTGTGTGTGTGTGTGTGTGTGTGTGTGACGGGGGGGCAGGGTCTCCCAATGAAGTTCAACCTGGCCTTGAACTCACTATATATCCCAGGCTGGCCTTGAGCTTGCTGAGATCCTCCTGCCTCAGCCTCGTGAGTGCTCAGATTACAGAAGTGCCCCACCACAGCTGGTATTTATCTTTTGTTTTCTTTTGGAAGATATTTCTTTACCTGCCACTCAAGTTATCTCGCCTATTTTAAGGCCACTTTTCATGTTTTTAATTCTATTTTTTTGTTTGTTTTTGGCAGAACCAGGGATTGAACTCAGGCCCTTGCACTTGCCAGGGAAGTGCTTATTCCACTGAGCCATCTCCCCAGCCCCCTTCAGTTCTATTTGAAGTATACTTGTGGGATTGTGTAATAGTTGCAATACCTTTTGCCAACCTCTGATGGTAGTTCTTACTATAAGATGCCTTGTTTCCTGCTCTGGCTTGGCTTCCTCTGCCTCCTCTTTCCCCACGTGTTCATTTTAGGGTCTCTGCATTGGGGCGGTCATTGGCTGTCTCCATTCAGAAGTCATAAGGAGGTCATCGGAATCTCTGGGGAAAGCATGCTGTGGAGAGAGCAGCGGCTCATTCTGACCCCCAAGTGACACCCCCCCCGCGCCCCACCCCCACCATCACTCAGCCAGGGCCTTGGCGAGCAACTGCCCTGGCTTCTTTGTCCAGTGAACAGAGGGAAAGCCTTGCAGCCACCTCTGCTGTGACATCACTGGATCTGTCCGCCCAGCCCATCCCCTCTGGGCCTCTCGCTTGCCCCTCCCCCTTTCTGGATCCAGGGCCCCCCATGGACCTCCTCCTGGGAGAATCTCTGAGATCTCCAAGCCCAGGTCACTCTGGATCCTGCACCCCAGCTCTGGCAACTTCTCCTTTTCTTTTGTTGGGCATCCACCTTGCCTTCCAGAGCTGCACTAAATTAGGTCTGGAGCTAATGTCTCTCCTTTCACCCTCTATTCCTTTGGGACCTTTCTTTTTTTTTCATTCCTTTGTAAGAGAGAATGAAGACAAATAATTTTTAATCAAAAGTCTATTTCCAGTATTATCCAAAAGTTTTTACCAAACTGTCGCAAATAGATATGTGCAAACTAAACCAGTGGGCATGGCCAAACCATTTTTTAAAATTAGCTTGTAGTGGTCATCATCTCTTTCTTCCTCGAGGGGGGCCGTCTCATTAGCTCAGTTGTTAAGTGACTGCTTAAACAAAGCAGTCAGGCTCAGGATGCTGTGGTTCGATCCCCA